ACTTTTCAGCTAGCAGCCCAGTGCCTAACCCCCAGGGCCCAGCCCTGCTGTGTTCAGCTGTAACTGCTTCGTTGGACCACATTCTCACATGTCACGCTTGATGGTTTGTTTACCTCCATGCATTTTAGCTGAGGCCTCTTTCAGGAAGGCAGACAAGGCCTCCAGGGCTGTATTCTAATGATGAAGGGTGGTAGTCTAATGATGAAGGACTGTAGTGTAACGATGAAGGACTGTATTCTAATGATGAAGGATTGTAGTCTAATGATGAAGGACTGTAGTCTAACGATGAAGGACTGTATTCTAATGATGAAGGGCGTTAGTCTAATGATGAAGGACTGTAGTCTAACGATGAGGGACTGTATTCTAATGATGAAGGATTGTAGTCTAATGATTAAGAACTGTATTCTAATGATGAAAGATGGTAGTCTAATAATGAAGGGCTGTATTCTAATGATGAAGGGCTGTATTCTAATGAAGGGTGGGAGTCTAATGATGAAGGGCAGTAGTCTAATGATAAAGGGCTGTATTCTAATGATGAAGGGTGGGAGTCTAATGATGAAGGGCTGTATTCTAATGATAAAGGGCTGTATTCTAATGATGAAGGGCAATAGTCTAATGATGAAGGGCTGTATTCTAATGATGAAGGATGGTAGTCTAATGATGAGGGACTGTATTCTAATGATGATGGGTGGTAGTCTAATGATGAAGGACAGTAGTCTAATAATGAAGGGTGGTAGTCTAATGATGTAGGGCTGTATTTTAATAATGAAGGACGGTAGTCTAATAATGAAGGACTGTATTCTAATGATGAAGGGCTGTAGTCTAATGATGAAAGGCTGTGGTCTAATGAAGAATTGTAGTCTACTGATGAAGGATTGTGGTCTAATGATAAAGGGTGGTAGTCTACTGATGAAGGACTGTAGTCTAATGATGACTGTGGTCTAATGATGAAGGGCTGTATTCTAATTATGAAGGACTGTAGTTTCATGATGAAGGACTGAGAGCTAATGATGAAGGACTGTAGTCTTATGATGAAGGACTGAGTGCTAATGATGAATGGCTGTATTCTAATGTGGTCTAATGGTGCAGGGATGTATTCTAATGATGAAAGATAGTAGTCTATGAACAATCTGGAGGAGAAAACAATGGGACCGACAGTTCCAGGGGAAATGGGAGACGGGAAGGTGGGGGGAAAGGTAGTGGTGTTAACAAACCCAGGAACAAGGGAACAACAAGTGGTCCAAATCGGTGGTGAGGAGGGTGTAGAAGGCCTGGTAAGTCATGATCAAGGGTAATGTAACCAAGAGGAATTACTGAAACCCAAATGAAGACTGAGCATGATAGTGGGACAAGAGGAAAGTCAGAGGAAATAAAGGAAAGAGCAAGGAGGCAAAGGGCATTTATAGAGGTCTAAATAAAGGCATGTACATATATAGATATATTTATATATGATGATGGGGAAATAGATCTATATGCATGCAGTATATTTATAGGCTTAGTATTAAGGTAGCAGATGGACATTGGGCGTCCATTCAAGTACTCCCTCAATGCAAAAATACTTTGTTCTATTAAACTAGCATTCCATGATGCTCACCTTCCCGACACAATCGCTTAAGACAAAGTGGGTGCATAAGCAAATGTGGCGAAGAAAGCTGATGGTGCCCGGCTATCAAGAGATATAGCATCTGGAGTCTTAAAGGCTTGAAGGTAAACAAGTGGCCATCTAGCTCAGAAGCAACAAAGCCCACATGGAAGAAGCACACCAGCCTGTGCGATCATGAGGTGTCAAAGGGATCAGGTATCAGGCATCATCGGAACAAAAAATCATATCATTGTGAATGAGGGGAGGGAGTGCGGAGTGGAGACCCAAAGCCCATCTGTAGGCTATTGGACATCCTCTTACAGAAGGATCTCAGGGAGTTGACAAGCCAATTGGGGTACGATGTAACAACGATGAAACATACAACTTTCCTCTAGTTCCTAAATGCTTCCTCCTCCGCCCACTGTCATGATCCCAATTCTACCTTACAAATCTGGCTAGACCAGAGGATGGACACTGGTACCGATAGGAACTGGAATCACAGGGAATCCAGGGCAGATGCTCCCTTCAGGACCAGTGGTGAGAGTGGCAATACTGGGAGGGTGGAGGAAGGGTGGGTTGAAAAGGGGGAACCGATTACAAGGATCTACATATAACCTCCTCCCTGGGGGATGGAAAACAGAAAAGTGGGTGAAGGGAGACGTCGGACAGGGCAAGATATGACAAAATAATAATTTATAAATTATCAAGGGTTCATGATAGCATCTGGGGTCTGAGGGAGGGGGGAGCGAGGAGGGAGGGGAAAGAATGAGGAGCTGATACCATGGGCTTAGGTGGAAAGCAAATGTTTTGAGAATGATGAGGGCAATGAATGTACAAATGTACTTTACACAATTGATGTCTGTATGGATTGTGATAAGAGTTGTACGAGCCCTAATAAAATGATTAGACAAAAAGAAAAGAAAGACAGTAGTCTAATGGTGAAGTGTGGTAGTCTCACGATGAAGGACCGTAGTCTCTTGATGAGGGGCATGTATGGACTTTGAGGTTGTCCATACCTGGGTTTGATTTCGTTTCTCCCACTCGCTGACCAGGAGGCCTGAGAAAGGTCACCTAACCCTTGTTTCATCATCTGTGAAGTGAGAAGAAGAATCCCAGCCTCCTAAGCAGTGAGAAGTCGGGGCTCCAGCCAGTCCCGGGCACCAAGTGAACCCTCCTTACGTGGTGGCTCTTGCTGGGACAGATGCTGTTGGGAATGTTCTGGAACAGAACGTTAAGATTTCGACTATGGTTCGAACATTGAGGTGTGAAGTTAGGAGATGTGATATGTTTGGCTGAATCATTTCTTATTAATTTAGCATTCATAATAAATAGAGAGATTATTGTGCCTTTTAGCCTAAGACACATTACTTAGATGGCACACTTATCTTATTTTTACTAATTGTTGTTAATTAGGAGCAATTAGGTGGATAAAACCGGTGACAGAAATAGTTGTTTTTGACCAGTTATTTTCAGTCAGATACCTGCTCCCAGCCAGACTGCTTTTGAATCTCTCTCTGTCTGTCCCCGCTCTCCCACCTCACCAGCCCTTCTCTCCACCCACCTTGCCCCAACTCTCTGAGGATAAGGGAGTGTCTTCTCCATCTTTCGACCCTGGTCCTCAACACATTTGTTGCACTGACCTGGCCTGAGCCTCAGGCAGCAGCCCACGGGCCAGGATGTGGAGTAGAATGCCAGTGTGCAGCAGGACTTGCTGGAGCCTCATTTCCCAAGAGGATCACGCTCCATTTCAAATACTGACTGGGTCCTCACTTGATGGTCAAATACCGAAAGAGAGAGATGCCCAGTGATAGATGGAAGTAACACTGTCACTCTGAGAAAGTGGCCAAGTGTAGAACAGAGCCCAGTGGCGGAATGGCTAATCACACCACTGCTGACCCACTGGTTTGGTGGTTCAAACCCACCAGCCACCACCCTGAGAGACCTGGTGAACTGCTTCCGTATAGATGGAAGCCTGGGAACACCAGAGACACTCCTGCTCTGCCACCTGGGTCGTAAGGACTCGGAATCGGCTCTTCGGCACACAGCAGTGTGAGGAGCTGCCTAGTACCAGTAGCCCTGGCCCGTGGTGTCGTGGAGTTACCAGGGCCCACACTCAGAACAGCTGTGGAGTGAGAGTTAGTAAAAGGAGAAAGACAAGGCTTTCGACTTCTGTGAAGAGTCACCGTCTCGGAAACGCAGAGGGGCCAGTCCACTCTGTCCCCTAGGCTGCGGAGAGTCAGTCTCACCCCGATTTCAGGGAGCTGAGTTGTGAGGACAGTTAGTACTCTGTCCTCTGCGCCGGTTGCAGCATGTCGTCTGCCGGCGTCCTCATTCTCAGGTGTCCCCCGCAGATGGATTTCAGGGTCACAACCCTGCTGTACGGCAGGCTCTCAAAACTGGAGCCGGAGGAACGTGTCTGATTTGGGCAGAGTCATCGTTAGCCCAGGACTACCTGTCTGCCATGTGATTCCAAGGGTCGTGAGCTTTGGTCTTTTAAGTTATGTGTGTCCCTTCATACTAACAAGTTTAGGAAGGGACTGTCGGGGACTCGGAAGTTAAACAGGGGCACGTGACTGACTAAAGAGGCCGCTGAAGGAACTCGGCCGCCAGCCAGTGAGATCAGAGGGCCAGTTCTGTGAGCACCATGCTCTGTCCTGACTGTGCTGAACCAAAGATGATAGTGGCGTCCCGTGATCCCAGCGTGTCCTGTGTTGTCAGGGATACGACGATCATCAACCACTCTCGGAACGGCAGCTATGGCGAGAGCTCGCTGGAGGCCCGCATCTGGCAGGAGGAGGAGGAGGTGGTGCAGGCCAGCAGGAGGTGTCAGGACATGGAGTACACGTAAGGAGGGCTGGGTGGGCAGTGCGTCGCCGGGTCCACTGCGGAGCCCCCAGCCCGCACATATGCGCGCTCCCATCCCAGCCCCTTCCAGGCACCAGTGCTTCTGCCACCCTGTCTCCGTGGCTGTGAGCTGGCTCTCATGGGGCAGCTCAGCCCGGGGCAAACCGCTACCTGCAGCTTCAGCAGGGGACTGGCACCTGCTGTTTCCGTGATATAGCCTCACGGAGGCCGAGTGTAGTGACAGAAGAATGCCCATGGTGTTTCTGGGTCTCTCTCTCCCTCTCTCAACTTCCAGGGAGCTGGAAAAGGGAAATCATTCCAAAGGCTCAAGGATTCTTGAGCCAGAATTTCTGTATCGCGGCTAGAGAGGATGAACTTGTTAGCGAATGCATTCTCTTGTGGGTTCGACAAGATTGGGGGCAGGCCTGTGACGTAGTGAAATGAGTCTGCCTCCCAGTAGCGATGGAGTGGGGGGCCTCAGCTCTCCATTTCTAGACCTTTATAGGAAACGTTGTATAGAATATAGAACTTGGTAGTTGATAGACTCAGAGTTATTACTCTGAGTGGTGAAAAGCGCCCACCTGCTTCCTACTTTATTGGGGGACCTTGGTGCCCTGGGGGTCAGCCTGTCTCCGTCCCAAGAACCTCGTGGTCCGTTTCCCCTCAGAAATCTACTTCCATCTGTAAGCTTGCGTGCTCTGCATCTTCCCAATCCCCTTGCTAGGTCACGCTGGGCCCTCAGAGGGTGGACCCAGGAGGTGTCCCCAGCCCGTCTCAGGTTCTCACTGCACGTCCTCAGGTTCTAGCAAGCCCTTTGATTCCCGTGGGGCCAGCTAAAGGCAGTCTTTGGTGAAAGAGCCCTCTTCCACCATTTGTAGATTATTAGACACTTGCGCACTTCACCTGCCGTGAACGAACGCCCCTCCCTGAGTTAGCATTAAAATTGTCTGCCCAGCCAAAGAGAACTGGTTCGGGCTTTTCCAATGACAATGATTTTTTTTTTTTAACCCAAACCCTTTACAGTATTAAAAATCTGCATGCCAAAATCATAGAGAAGGATGCCATGATTAAGGTCCTTCAGCAGCGATCCCGGAAGGATGCTGGGAAGACAGACTCCTCCAGCCTGCGGCCCGCCCGCTCCGTCCCGTCCATTGCTGCAGCCACGGGCACACACTCCCGCCAGACCTCTCTGACCAGCAACCAGCTGGCCGAAGAGAGGAAGGAAGAGAGGGCCTGGAAGGGGAGCATCGGTGAGCTGCGTCCCTCCCCAACCCCGGATCAGGAAAGCAAAAGCTTTTCAGACAAAAGCCGTGAAAGGCAGTCTTGTGGGCAGGCTGAGTCCTAAACATCATTCGAATGGTGCCCTGGCTCCACTGGTCACAGGATACGCCAGTGGTACAGAGCATCTCTGAGCCTCGGTCTGCTCATCTCTAAAATGGGCAGGGTCCTTCCGCCCACCTTCAGTCGTGGATATGAAGTGGTCCATGTACTAGCTCGCAGGGACACCGGCTTCCAGGTGCTTACTTTCTCATCTGTCGTGGACAGTCCCCTGTAGGTGTCACTTCACGCTTACCTTACCTTTTGGCTTAATCTGCCGCCAGAAGCATGGCGTGGATTCTGAAAGCCACTGAAGTAGGTTGTTTTCCCTCTGTGTTGACTCGTCTCGTAATTATTACTCGTTCCTGAAATTCCAGGCCGTTTGTACAGCATAAAAGGAGGAAAGCCCAGGGATGCCAGGCCTCTCTGAGCGTGGTTCTGCCTCAGTCCAGCCTGACGACCTCTCTGCCTCTGATTCCTTCCCTAGCAAAGGGGTCCTGGCCTGCAGGACACAGGGAGTCTCTGTGGAAGTGGCAGAGCCCGCCTTGCCTGCAGGCAGCATCCCCAGACACGCTCCCTGCTCTTCCCTGGCCCTCTGACGGAGTTCCCCGGGTTAGCGTGTGCTTTGTTTCTCTGGGGCTGAGAGCCAGCTCTCCCGGCACAGGACACCACAGGAGCCAATGGGTTGACAAGACCGAGAGGGTGCACCCCACAGTTAGGAGATCAAAGGCTCCAGCCAGACCTCTGTTTGAAGTCCTTCCACGGGGTCACTTCAGCTGCCCCTGACCCTGGAGGATGTGCACTTCAAAGAGGACGTGTGTGGACAACAGATGTCAGCATCAAAGCCCCTGCCAAGGGCACTTGCAGAGCCGTTAGGGTGCCTGGGAGGCAGGCCTGGTTAAGGAGACTGAAAATGTGGTGGGTCTGATGGAAGCCTCCCTGGGAGAAGCTGGCCACCCAGGCAGGCCGGGCCTGCGTTGGGCACAAGCCAAGCCTGGGAGCTGAGGACGGGTGGCCTGCAGGAACAGTTGCTAGGTCCGTCCCGTTGCTGTGCAGAATCTTACATGGACTGGTGCCCGTGCATCATGAGTATTGAATAGGCCATGCCCAGTCCCCCAGAGCTTTGACCGCCTCTTCCCCATTGGACTGGAAGGAGGTACAGGTGACAGAGCTTTCTCTCCTCCGCCTCCTGCCCCCGAGGTTCGGCTCTGGTCTAGTGGACCCTGCACTCCCCATGAGAACATCGCTGTCAGACTCGAGCCTTCCGCAAGCAGGGCGGCACGGTGGACAGGGCACCGACTGTCTGAAGCCCATCTCTGCTACAGACAACTTTGAACTTGGCATTTCCCTGAGCTTCTGCTTCTGTGTCCATCAGGCAAAGCTAGGAGTACTGTGAAAAGAGAAAGGAGACATCCAGAGTGTGGTCCAGGGACCAGCCGCAGCAGCGCCTGGGACTTTGGGCGACGACATTTCACGGGGCAGACGTCTAGGGAGGGGCATATAGAGAGGTGTTTCTCAGTGCTCCCCAGTGCTCCCAGTTTTACCAGGCCTGTGATACATGCGCATGAAATGCTAGGTGAATGAATCAAGCAATCCTCAGTCAAAGAAAATGACCTCCAAGGCAGGTTGAAAACAGATGGCATTGAAAGAGTTGTTCTCCCCCTCCCCCCCGCCCCCCAGGACTGCTGCTGGGGAAGGAGCACCATGAACCCTCCTCGGCACCCATGCTGCCAGCCCCACCCACCGCGGCCCTGACTCCGACTGCTTCCACCACAGTGGCCAGCAGCGCCCACGCTAAGACAGGCAGCAAGGACAGCAGCACCCAGACGGACAAGAGCACCGAACTCTTCTGGCCCAGCATGGCCTCCCTCCCCACCCGCAGCAGGCTGGGCATGACCCCCTCCAACAGCCCCGCCCTGAAACACCCTGCCACCAGGGGCCCTGCAGAGAAGCCTGGTAGGTGCTCGCTCACCCTTGGGAACTGGAGGACTGGCTCCAGGGCAGGCTTCTTGTTGCGCTGGGGAGGGCTGGTTTTGAAATGTGGTCTTGATGTCGCTAATGTGCTTGGCCTCTGCTCTTTATTGCTGTGAGACTCAGCTTTACTTCTACTGTACATCATGTAGAATGAGTACACAGCTGCACCCGCCTTTCCCACGTGTACTGTAAAACTAACCCATCCCCAGAAAGAGTGGAAATAGATGCCCCAACAGAGCTAGAAAACTGGTCCGTGTTTGTGTTTGGGAGCTAGTAGCAGACAAGAGGAGCCCAGTGGCACAGTGATTGCACACTCACTGGACTGCCGAGAGGTTGGTGGGTTTGAACCCTCCTGGGGGCTCCGGGAGGAAGAGCAGGTCAGCTTCGGAGTCAGAACCTGCCCCATCACAGGTGGTCTCTGCGAGTTATTGTCCACTCAGCTAGGTTTTAGATGCCGCACAAGCATCTAGAAACCGGGGTATTGCCTGCAAGACATTCACATATCAAGGTTTCAGGGTGCAGCGGGTTCGTCCTGATGGGAGAAGATGGGTGGTTGTAGGGTCACTTAACTTCTGGCACAGCCTTGGCGCCACTGCTAGTGAGTGGCATTGGTAGAGCTTGTGAGAGGAGGCGGCTTGGGAAGAGCGCTTTGTGGGGGTCCCTGAGTGTCCGGGTAAACGGTGTGTGGGGGTTGTAACTAGTGTGGAGGTTGAATTCTTGGGATGAACTTTACCAGGTAAAGCAGATAGTGGGCACCTGACCATTTTGATGTAATGGGAGGAGAAAGGGTGAGTGTAAGGAGCGCCCCACGAAGTCCCAAGGTCACTCTCACCCACTCCATCCTGTTCCCATCACCACCCTGATGGTGAATGTCTTTTATATGATCCTGAGCTCTGGGACCAGCATGGTGCGTACCTCATAGCACTAAGTTCTCACCCACTGCTGTCTCTGGGCTCCCTGCCTGCAGGCGCGTGTGGGAGGAGCGTAGGAGGGATTGTGCTGTTCTGATGCACCCTTTCGTTTGGCAGAAAGCTCGCCTGGCCACGGGAAAGCCCCCGACCATGGGAAAGGCCGAGTCAGCAGCGTGCTCCACAAGGCCGAGTTCCCCGACGGAGAGATGATGGAAGTGCTCATCTGACGCCCTCCCTGGGGCGCTTCGAGCCGAAAGAACACTGGCAAACAAGGGACATGGCAAAGAGGAAGAGGGAAGGTCACGGAGGTTGTGGGGGGAAAGCAAGATGATTTGAACAGATATGGATTTCAGATCCCAGGAACCATTTTTATAAATGTAAAAATAAGACACACGTGCACGCATACACACATACAAACCAGGAGACCTACGTGACTGGAGAGAGAGGCACGTGTTACAAATTTGTCTTGCACATGGTGGAAGAGAGAAGATGCCTGTAGGTTTGGAAACAAAGTGGAGGTGAAATAGGAGACGGAATGTTTCACCGTACAAAAATGAATCTCTTGGGGGTAGGGTCTGTGTACCTCCATTCTCTGCTTATAAACAGATAAGCCTGAGCATGGATCTTCCTTGGGCCACCCCATCTCCTTGCCCCTTAGCATGTTGGTTGAAATCTAGGGCCAGTCTTAGTATCATGCACACAGGACTCGGTGTTCATACATCATCACTCGGGCCATCCTCCCAGTGTCTGTGAGTGAGTGAGTGAGTGTAAGAGACAATGAGAAGGAATGCTTGCAGATGATGAGGAGTGAAAAAGTGGTCTTCACTTAGGGCCCTGTGTGGCACGGGTCGTCAGAGACCATTGGACTTTGGGACTTTTGCGGGAGTCGGCAGTGTGTTGAAGCAGATGGGCGTGTTAGGATCTCGGCCTAGCCCCTTGTCCCGGACTTCTCTCCCCCACCTGTTTTCACTTTCTCCCCCATACCGTTCTCCCCCAGTCTCTTTTCACTTTCCGTTTTGCCTCTCTATCCTCCCACCCCACCCCTGTCTCTTTCCAGGAAGCCGTGGCAGTGTTGTTGAGGTCTGGGGATGGTCAGAGCATTATCTGAACTGTGTTCTGTCCTGGGGGTTCTCAGCAACCCGGGAGACAGAATGGGGCGCTGGCTTCGTGTCCGCTTTCCTCCCACCCCGAGTGGGGCTGCAGCTGTGAACATCATTCTGACTGTGGGTGAGCTAGGAGAGGGCGGGGAACTGCAGCAGCCGTTGTGGCCTCCTGCAGTCAGGCCCTGGCACCCACCATCTTCCAGGAGCTTATTCACGTCCACCTTGTGGTTCTGTTAGGGTCTTTCCAGCCTGCGCCCCAGGCAACGGCGCTCCACGCTCAGTAGTCTTGGCAGCCACTTTCTGGGATGGGTGGCCCTCAGCAAGTCCCGCCACCCCTGCCCTGCGCTCCTGCTGGCTGTGGGTGAGCCTGTGTACTGCCGTGGATGCTGTGACTTCTGTCGGGATGTGAGGGCTCACACAGTGGTTTCTTGGCTGTGAGCTGACCCTGAAGCCTGTCAGACAGGGCCACGTACAGCAGGTGGGGGTGTAGGAGCGTTCCACTTGTCCACAACATGACAGAGCTACCAGGGAAAGGAGCCGGGCGTGTATGGTGAGCCTCACATAAGACTCGTGGACACCGGCTTCCTTTACAAATCCTGGAGGTGCCAGATCAGCTGGAGTCTGGCTTTCTCGGGTTCCTTTCCTCGGGAAAACGTAAAATACAAGCCCTAAGACGTTTCCAAAGCTCCTCTAAATGAATCAGGTACATTAATGGGAATGTTTGCCCTGATGGCTTCTTTGGGGGGCTAATCTCTAGAGTGGAACCTGGGTGAAGTTCTAGCCTCCCCAAACTGGGGGTGGTAAGGGCTGTAAGCTCCCGTAAGGTGGGGTCCAGGGTGCCCTCAACCATCGACTCTCCCCAGCACATGCTCTGCGCGAGCGCCAAGCTTGGGCCTCATGCGTGTGTGCCCTTTCGAGTCATAGTAAACACCACAGACTGGACATCCAGGGCGCGGAGAGGCTGGGCAGCTCCCTTTGGCACCTGCTGGTGGGAGAGACAGGAGGCCTTGCCACGGGGGGATAGGGCTGCTCACAGCGAGGGTGAGGCCGTGGGAGAGAAGTCCCATGGCCATCACTTTTCATGGGAGACAAGACTCACTGGGTGGCTACCAACACCCTTAAGGACCTTTGGGTGCCTAGTTCATGTGAGGGGTGGCCCAGAAAGGAGACCAGGGGATAAGTCAGTTCTGCAAGCCCGAATGCAGCAGTGGGTGAGAGGAGAGTTCAGTCCTTGTTTCCAGGGGCCTGTCTGCCCCCCCCCCCCGGTGGGTGGGGGGTGTCAAAGCAAGCTTGCCTGCCTACTCTACCAGAGCCCAGCCCCTGCGGTGCCAGGCTGTTTGCATTGTTAAGAGCAAATAGAGCCACAGCCAACATTTCTTGGCTGCTTCTTCCATCACTGCTCCTTCTGCCATGCTGAGACTCTTCCTTGAGAATAGGCCCTGAGCGTGAGAACTTCTGTTCGGGGGCTTCCCCAGCTAGCCAGTTCCCTCAGTCCTGTCATCGCCACAGCTGGCTTGAAGCCTGCCTGGCAAGTAGGTAAAGGGGATTGATCGCATGGCCTGACCACTCACTGAGCCCTGGGCAGTTTGCAATATAGCATCTCGCTTGATTTTCAAAAAAACACGATGAACTTATAGTACTTACAGGACGCAAGTGCTGTAGTAAGTTCCTGTTGATTATTCTTGAAACCACCTTGACCGAAGAAAGTTTCATTTCCTTTATTTCACACAGATGAGGCAACAGGCTCAGGGAGGGGAGCCCCTTCCCAAGGCCTCACAGCCAGGAGTTGGGCTTTGAAGCAGGGATCGGAGCAAGGAGGTGTGCCCTAACTAGCAGACCACACTGCCTCCTCTAACCCGGAGATCATAATCCCCCTGCAGCACCCATCTCTGCTCTGCCTTGTACACACTTGAATGCACACGCACACCCACACGCGCGTGGACGGACTCAAGAGCGGCTGCCATACCTCTCTCAGGATCAGAAACAGGATCAACCCAGAATGCCTAGTTTTGCCCGTACACAGCAGGAGCGGATGGAGAGGCTTGTATTCCATCACCAGCGGGCTGCAAAAGACATCTGACAAGCTCATCCACGTTGCCTAGGGACCTTGACTTCTTCAAAACTCCACAGTGGTGTGTGATTGTGGAACTTGGGGAGATTCTCTGTCAGCAGCAAGGCAAAAGCTCTGGCTTCCTGTGAAGATGTGCCCAAGTAATTCTGCTTCATCCTGGAGTGTTGTCTGGAAGCTTCTGCCGGCTGCCCAAAGTGGAATAGGGGGTGTTGGGTTCAGGCCTCTGCCTCCAGACGTTTCACTAAGCAGAGGGTCTGGTGCCCGTGGACGTTGACTGTCTGCAGCTCCGTAGAGCTGAACTGCCAGGCAGCACTTGTTTGTCCAAAACTCACTGCCTCCCCTTCTCAGTTTGTCCTCTGTCTCCCAGACATTGGTACTGGTGACCACACTGAGCGTGTGCACAGCAGGTACTGGGGCAGGTGGGAGACCAGGATGTGGTCAACACTTGCTCCTTGAGTTCTCCAGGGGTAGGAATTTGAACAGCACAGGGCTCAGCGTCTCTGGGTAGGGAGGCATTTCCTCCAAATGAGTTCGGAGCGTGAAGCAGTGACCGCAGTAGTTGTGTTAGGCAGGGAAAGGCTGTCAGAACTGCCTCCCCTGCACAGAATAATGCCCCGTCGGGTGTTGGTTTTCTGTTCTTTTTTTCCTTGCCAATTGGTGTGTTTAAAATGTATGCATCTGGTGTGAGAAATGTATATTGGGTCTGCCGTGGACGTGCGGCTCGGTGGGAGATTTTTAAGACATTTTAATGAGCAGATTTCAGAAGTTCCCGAAAGCTGGTCAGCTGCGAGTGGTTGCAGGTCAGCATTTCAATACATGGATTTTTTTTTTTTCCTGGAACTAATGTGCATTGTTTTTGTCTTGCTGTTTCACTCCGCCCTTTAAGTAGTGTAACTTTCATCTCATTTAGTAAGTGAATGGTAGATAGACATGCATATTTAAGTGCATGCACGTGGAGAATGATGCTTAGGCTGTGTGCTTAGCTCCTTTGCTCTCCTAAATACAGAGAAGATCTGAGTTTCCCATCTCAGCCGATGGTCCTGGGAGCCGGTTGCTGCAGAGCCACCCAAGTAGAAAGACCCTGATGAGAATGACCTTGGGGACCAGGCATGTGCCTGTGGCTAGCTAACCTTAGAGATGAGAAACCATCCCTCTGAGGATGGATTCAAGGTCTGAAAATCATCCAGAGTCGCTCACAGCTCTGTTGAATGAAAAATGATAGGCGATTACATCGTCACATCATTCTAGCTTCCTTAAAAAAGAAAAGAAAATTCCCCAGGTGGGTCTCTGGCAGCCCCTCCACTTGAGGCCTTCAGAGCCTCAGTAGTCAATACCCCAGGTAACTCGCAGTGGATTCGCTTTCACAACTCAATCCCCTGCCGTGCCTCAGGCGCTTCAATACCTGGGCACTCCCTACAGGCGTTAGGCATCCACTCACTTAGGATAAGCCCCTATCGGGATCCTCTAAAGACACCTTATACTCCAAGTGCATGTGATTGCCCTGCTGCTCGACATTTCTGAGGTGCTTTGTCACGAACCTTCGCTTTCTCCCAGAATTAAAAGACTGCTCTCTGCTAGTGAAGTGCATATACAGCATCTCCTTGTGTCCGTCCGTCCCTGAAGTGCTGATGCCCCGTGGCATGCGTACCTGTGCTTTCTTTGCCCAGCCTTCTACTCCCAGACCAGACCACCCATAAGGAGGTAGTGCAAAGAAGAATGTCAGCGAGCTTGTGCACAGCGGTTTGATCTGAGCCGGGATGTGTGTCCAGTGCCTCGGAGGAAGGGCGGTGAGGCACGAGGGACCCGTGTAAACTAGCCTGGGATCCCGGGCTCCGCCCGCCCGGGTGCGCCTGTCTGCACGGAGCACTGCGGCCCAGAAGTCTGTGTACACACTGCGCTGGCGTCCAAGAGCACAGCACACCCCCCACGGCAAATATCCATGTGGTTGGTCAGCCAAAGACTTTCCTATTCTTTGCTGCTTAAACGTGTGCCTTAATATTGTATATAATAAATGGATGAAATGGAAAAATGGCTGTTTCCTTCGCTGCTGTCCTCTGCCTGCCCGGAGCAGAATGTACATGTGTTGCTCCGCAGATGTTTAACTTCCTTTCACTGCTGTGGGGCCGCTTCATTGTGTAGCTTTGCTTCCAGGAGGGTTGGCTCCCTTTCCTGGGGGCCTTATGCTCACAGGGCCCTCCCCTTCGCAGACACACACACACACACACCCCTCGATTCGGAGAGGAAATGTCGCCCAGGCTACACGGGCAGGCTGCCCTCTCTGCCACCTTCAGACCAAATGTAATCACCATCTTCATAAGGAAACACAGAGAGATGGTGGCCCCAGGGAGGCAGCTTGCACTTCCATCGGAACCCTTACAGAGCCTGTCAGTGAGGCACAACTCCCCACCCCGACCCCCCGCCCAAGGTGAGCTGCAGGAGGTGGTAGCTGCTGGTTGGTGCCTCTGGTCACCGAGGAAAAGGTGCTCTGGTTAAAAAGCCATATGGCAAATTAGTGACATTCGGGCCAGGGTTTCTGACTGCTGCCAGAGAAGATCAGTCCTGCCTGTGAGGGTCCCCATGGGGACCAGGGCCCTGCTGTCACAACCTCTTGCCCACTCCATCCCTGGCCCCCACCGTGCTGTCATTCCCAGCAAGAGCAGGTTTCCATCGCTGGGAGCTTAGGGAGAGTGATGGATATGTGTTTACTGGTGTGGTTGCCATAAATAATCCCTGGGTCCTCGCAACAAGCCTCCTCCTGATTTCAAATGAGGAAGAAATAGCTGTAACCAACCATAGGCAAGTGATGTTTAAAGAAATAAACTGACAGCTGGACTCAGAACCCAGACCTCCCTGTCAGAGCCCGTGTACCCATATGAAAGGTGGGCCAACATGAGCACAGAAGAGCTCAGGTTCGAATCTGCGTGGGCTCTCGGCTACCCAAAGGAATCCATTGCTGAGAACTCTGGGTCTTGGGCCTGTGGACGTGACTTCCCTAACTCAAAGAACAAACGGATGTAGCTCCCAGGCTCTCAGCTCTCTGCACTGCCTGAGAGGATAGCAGGGCCCTCCCTGGACCTGCTGCCTGAAGAGCTGGCCCAGTGCTTGAAGCTCCGGTGAGGGTTGGCCTCTCCACCATTCTGGCTTTTGTCTGGAGCCTTTTATACACCAAGAGAAAGCCTCAAGCCTGACAGTTCAGTGTGTCCCTGCAGGTGGTAGCCACATGATGCTGGGACCTCCAGGCTGCCTGGAGAGCCTGGGCTGGGACCTCCACAGAACCACAGGGACGAGTGATGTGCTTGACAACTACCCAGGCTTGTGGTGATAGGGAGGGAGGTCCCAAAAGACAGCGATGGCGTTCCTTTCTTAAAAATGGTCTGTGGATGAAATCGAATGGGGCCTTGGTCACTGAAGGAGGTCGCTGTGTTTTAACTGTCACCCTTGCGTCAAGCTTGACAACCTGTCTCTGACATTCGCCCTTTAGCTATCCCATCTCCACAGGCGCATGTCATCGTACCTGGTCCAGGTGAGCTGAGCACCTCTCGGGACTAAGCTCCTCTTGGGGTGGACTGTTGGAGAGGGACATGTGGTTTTGAAAAAGCTGAAGTTGGAGCTTCATGGAGCCCAGAAGGCCAAGGATTCCATTCCAATCTAATTCAGATTTCTATCCAAGGTGACTCTTCCCAGGTTCCTGAAGACCCACGACATGTGCACCGAGCATGAGGTGCCCAGACTATGTTGCTGAGCAATTGGGAGTACAATCACTAAGAGCCTGTTGCTGGAAGCTAGTAAAATAAATAGCTTTGTATTCAGATTGGTTTCGTGAGTCCTTCTGAACATTGGTTGAGTTGGCTTTTTAAATCTTCACACTACCACCACCATCACCCCCCACCATAGGTAAAGGTGTTATCATGCATTTTCCCTGAGTTTCCAGTGAGGTCACAGGCTCAGGAAGGGTGCTATGGGGGAGCGGGGACAGAGGGAGGGGGAACTCCACAGCTTATTAAGTGTGAGGAGTCAGAAGACAAACTCCGGCCTGCCCACTCTTCCTTCTGTGGACTTGGAGTTCGTTTGGTTATTGTTTTAGTACTTTGATTTTGTTTTTATCCTCAAAAGAATTAGTAGGCAAATTAAATTAAAATAAATCAAATGTCACTGAGACTTGGACTGCACAGACGGGCAGGGGTCCGGGGTGGCACAGTGGTGAAAAGGCTCGGGCGCTAACTGAAAGGTCAGCTGGTTAAGTCCCCAGCAGTTCCCGGGAGGATGGCGGAGGTGCCTGCTCTCAGGACGGTTCCAGCCTGCTCCTAGAGGGGAGCGATGACTCGGGAAGACTCTGCCGCTGTGGGTTGGATTTGGGTTTGTTTTGCCCTCGTTTCTGGTGGAAAAACAGAGGCAGGGAAGTCATGTCTCTTGCTCAAAGTTATCATCGAGCTTGTGAGCGCCCAGGGCTGAGAGCCAAACCCAGGCAAACTGGCTCCATCCACGCCACCGCACTGTGTGCCCCTCACGATTCCTGAAGCGGGTCTGGCCATGTCACTCCACGGTGGGGAACAGCAGCAGCCTTCATTGCTCCCTGGCCCACGGTCCTTGGGACAGAGGTCAAAGTTCAAGCACTCAGACCCCAGCCCACCTCCTCAGGCTCGTTTCACTCTGGAACCATCCCTGTGCCCCAACCTGCTTTGTGAGTTCCCACTTCTGCCCCCCACCCCGCCTGTGGGAACCCTTGTCCTGGAATGCCCTCTCATCTGTCTGCCCACATCCGATTCGTGGCTCAACATGCGGCTCAAATGTCACTTCTCTCAAGAAGGTCTTTCAGGTCAAAAGGGTCAACGTGAATTGCTTCTCCTCCATCATTAGCTGAGTCGCGTGGAGAAAGTTGCTTCACTGGTCTGAACTCAAAGTGAGCCATCCCTCCACCTGTGAATTCAGGACAGGGGACAGACACCAGGACAAACACCCTTCACGGCGTGAGCACAGTTGCTGACACGCCATAGCTGTGAGGTGTCTGGGACCCAGACGGCTGGACCGCAGGGATTTCAGGAGAGAAGAGTCGCAGGGATTTCAGGAGAGAAGAGTCGTCGCGGGTGGAGCCCACGGTGGTGGTTAGGTACCCGCAAGTGGATTCTGACAGCGACAAGAGCAGGAAGCCCCGCCGGCCCTGTGCCATCCGACTGCGTGCCTGTTTGAGCCCTTCCTCCTGTTCACCGCCCTTCTGCTTTACCAAGCACTTGCTGCCCTGTGCTTCCTCCCCGGGCCTTTTCCAGGGACCAGGCTCCCTGATAACATGTCTAAAGTATGTGAGATGAAGGCTTGCCATCCTCGCTTCTAAGCAGCATTCTGGCTGTGCTTCTGCCAAGACAGATCTGTTTGTCCTTTTGGCAGTCTGTGGTACCGCAGGTCCTCCCCAAAAAACGACAGTAACGTGCATCATAGCATCTAATCCAGCACCTTCCTAGGCTGCCTCCTGTCACAGTGAACTGTAGCCCCGCGGATGTCTCTCGACTCATCTGTCTGGAGCGGGATCTGTGTCCAGGGTGCATCTGTGACCTTCCAGTTGACGCCGAGTCATGGCGACCGCCGTGTTTCAGAGGAGAAGCATTCTCCGTAGGACTTCAGAGGCTACTTTTTGCCTTCGGAGGTGCTCCTGGGTGGACATAAGCGTTCACCTGTCCAGTTGGCCCAATAGATTAGCCGTTTGCACCAAGAGCTCCTGGTACAGAGTCGTCCATTCGTGTGCCCGAGTGGCTTTTTATGGAAACTGGAAGAAAAGATTCTAGCTGTTTGTGTTCAAATTATTTATACAAGTAGAGCACACCTGTTTAAAAATATGCATACAAAGTGAAAGTCACTTCCTTCTGAAAAGTGCTGGACGTCGGCATTGCTAGCTTTGGAAGACTTCCTTCTAGACCTCTCTACAGATACAGACAAAAAGATATGTAGCTATGTGTAATTGAACAGGAAGTAAAAAATAACATCATGCTATGCATAAACCTTCTGTTTCCATTCAAGCATAGATGACAGGTAGGTTCCCATGCCAGCACCTATGGAACTTACTATCTTTAGTGGCCATACAACATTCTTTGTATGGAAGAGAGGTTACTGAAAGCCTGAATATTAAAAGGTTCTTGGTGGCCACCCAGCTTTCCCACAATATTTTCCAAGCAGGTAAGAGAAAACTAGGAGCAGGGAGAAACTGGGAAGGTTGAGTCTCCTTTCTAAGAAAGAGGATATAGCTTGCAGTATATGTGTGTGTGTGTGTCTCTATATATACAGCTTGACTGAATACCATCTATTATTCCCATGTGCGTGTCAGTCACAGATGGGTGATAATACCATGATGCTAATGGTGTCCCAAGGACCTGACATCCCCAGTGCCTAGCTGATGGCTCACGCCCAGCCTTACCCAGGCTGCCCTGCTCCATCTGCTCTCTTAACGGACAGGCTGCTTTTCTGTTCAGTGTCTACAGGAGGCATTTTCTTGGCACAGTTCAACTCGGCCTTTGTCCAAGTGACTTCTTTCTTCGTTGATCCTTCTTCCCTTGTCTCCGGACACTTTGATTTTGCAGTGTCTCTCTAAGTTTTACAAATATTTGGCTCCAAAAAGAGGCTACATACAAGCTTAGCTCACAGTTTACTCAACAGGCTATTGGCAAAAATTAATTATGTGTCTAGCAGCCTTAGATCCTGGAGGGAACCCAGAATGCTCTGGCAGTCTCTGCCCTGGAGGATGTCGGGGCGTGGGATGTTGGAGTGATCAGATCACCTCCTGTGTGCCTTTGGTCTTCACCACGGCAAGGGCTAGGAGGCTCAGAGAAGGTAAGCAACTCACCCCACCGCACAGCCAGGAAGGGGCAGGGCAGGTGTTTGAGCCTGGTTTGGCATGCCTCCCAAAAGTCAGGATTTTTCCTCTAGGGCAGCTGGGCAGCATCAGTTGAAGCTGAGTTGAGAACACAAGATCAATGTGAGAAAAAAAAAGCTGGTTATTCTCCCTTGTTGGGAGATGGACCCCAGGGACTTGACG